GGGCTCTAAGCAACTCAAGCATCACTCACAAGTGTTCCCGGTGCTCCTCCTCAAAGGGTGAGTAAATCAAGATGTCGTCCATAAAGACGACAACAAAATGGTCTATGAACTCACAAAAGATCCGGTTAATCAAATTTATAAACACAGTTGGCGCATTGGTTAGCCCAAAGGGCATCACTAAGAACTTATAATGGCCATACTGCGTGCGGAATGTCGTCTTCTGGATATCCTCCTTCCTTACTCTTAATTAGTGACAACTCGATCTCAAGTCTATCTTAGACAAACAACAAGACTCCTTCAACTGATCAAACCAATCATCTATATGAGGCATTGGGTACTTGTTCTTAATAGTTACTCGGTTTAACTTTCGATAATTTATACAAAGTCGTAATGCACCATATTTCTTTTTGGAAAAAAGAGCCAATGCTCCCTAAAGTGAAGTATTGGGGCGGATAAAACCCTTATCTAACAATTCTTGTAGTTGAATCTTCAACTTACTCAACTTGGCAGGTGCAAATCTATATGGTGCCATAGAAATCGGTGTCATGCCAGGCACTAAATCAATAGAGAACTCGATCTCTTGATGAGGTGGTAAACTAGTAAGATCTTCGGGAAAAACATCTGGGTATTCACAAAGCACCCTTGGCAACACAACTCGGACTTCATCACACTGCTTACTCAAGAAGTTAGCAAGAAAGCAACTGAGTTCACTCCGCCTACGCGGATCATACACTAGTGATAAGACTCTATTAACCCAGTCCCCCAAGAAATAAAAGCAATCATCGCTCAATGTACATACAATAACCCTCTGATGGTAGCAATCTATGACAGCCTGATATGATGACAACCAGTCCATACCCAAAATAACATCAAAACTAGACATGTCAATCAACACAAATGCAAAAGGTAGTCGACGATTGGCGACCAGCAACCTCTATGTTACAACCCCGCACCCCTGCTTTAAAATAATCTCACCACCAATAAGTGACACTACATAACGAATTATGCTAACTAAGCCAACTTTAACTCCAAAATCGATGCAAATGCAGACGAGATAAATGTATGGGATGCACCCGTATCAATCAACACATTAGTAACTGAATTGCAAAACAAGAAGGTACCTCTCACTACTGAAGGAGCCAGTACAAGATTTGGTGTGGTAACAACATACACACACCCTGTAGGTCTCTGCTCAACCTGCTCACCCCTCGGAACATAAGCCTGATCATTGATTGAGCCGAAAGGCTCCCTAATTGGCCCTTGAGGCCTATACTGACTGGGTTGGCTGGTGGCTTTGTATCTGCCTTGAACCAGGCGCACTAGGTGTGCGGCCTAACTAAGGGCAAAACCTCTTCATGTGCCTCGCCTACCCATACTGATAACAAGTGAACGGCTGGCCTCTCCTATGACTTTGGCTTTGAGAACGAGCCTAAGACGATGCAGACCGTTGCCCTCCTTCTCTCTACGGGGAAGCTATAGACTTGTGGCCTAACTGACCATACTTGAAACAAGTGATATCTCCCTGACCACCTCTCCCACAACCCGAACTTGACACTGGAAAAGTGGACCTCGACTAAGCTCGCTAGGACTGTTGTAGGTTATAACCCCTCTGTCTCTTATTGGCCCTCTGAATATCCTGACTCTTCCTGGAGCCCCTCATCATCTCTTCCTCAATTTGCGTTACGGTCTCTAGATGAGCCGTCGCCGCCTTCACAAGGCGTCCATACTCTCTAATCATTGACCCGACCACTTTAAACGTGAGCCCGATCCTCAATTTCTTCCCGAACTTTAAACAATGGCACTTCTCAGTCGCCATGAGTTTTGGTGCAAACCTCGACAAGCTAGAAAATGTGGCTTCAAGTTCGGCCACCGGAGTGTTCAATTACACAAGCTTGGAGAACTAATCTCACAACTTCTCCCGAACTATGGGAGGCAAGAACTTATCCTAGAAGGTGCTAACAAAAGCCTCCTAGGTCACCCTAATGCGCCCGCATGCATACTTCCACCACTGACCCGCATCTCCCTTCAGTTGAAAGGATGCCAAGGTCACTCTCAACTGGTCGTCCTTGATGCCCAACATCTCAAACATCTTCACTATTTCCTCTAGCCACTCATCCGCTTTTAGTGGCTCCTTAAGATTACCCAAAAACTCATCTAAATTTGACCGAAAAAACTCCCGCTTTAGGAATGACGGCCCTGTCTCAGTTACTTGGGCCCGGACTTTATTCTCAACTCAGAGAATGTCTATAGACTCCCGCAATGCTCCGGTCATTTCATGGGCTAAGGTGCCCATGGCTTGCTGACCCATTGGTTCGGCCACATTAGCCTGACCAACCCTTCTTCTTGCGTAGGAATATCATCTGGTAAAGGCACCTCATGCCTCCTAGGCCTACCAGTACCACATCTATGTCCTTACATCCTAATGAAGGTAACACAAAAGATTAGCACTTTCACAAATGTGCCGAAGCTAACTCACTCGTGTCCTAATGCGTTGGACAACAGTAATTCACTCCATATAAGCACGTTGTCACATAAACACATATAAATTTCATTTCCGGATAATGATCGTCTCGCGGCATTGTTAGAGTTCCAATTAGAAACAGTAGTGATTAAGCGCTCTTCTAAAAGGATTTCTAGAAACCCGTAGACTCAATCAACATCCTAGAAACTAAATCCCATACCCATATAACCACATAAGCATATTATCATATAAACACATCGTACATACGAAAGTCTCTATCAAGCGAGACAAGCCCATTGTGGTAATAACCACTTCCCACATACCAAAAGTATTCAAACCCGGTACGCTCTTGATACCAAGTTGTAATGCCCCGAAATAAATGCCATAAATCCATCAAAGACCATATGTAAATATCATTATAAATTAGAGTATAATGTTCTTTCATTTCATGAGAATTAATAGTACAAAAGAGTTTAATTAAATAAATGCCCTATAAATTTACATCTTTTCAAGACCATGCTTGGTTACAACAAAAACGGATATAAATCAAATACATGTAAAGCTCTTGGCTTGAATCAAAACAATAACATAATACACAAAAGAGAAGCCTTCAGTCTCGATTCCTTACAAGCTATTGCCTTGGCGGAGGCATATCACCAACACCTGAAAAGGTTTTTCCCAAATAGGGTGAGCCAAAACCCAGTAGAAATAATTTAACACAATGTATGAATTTTAACAAAGATAAAAGTATGATATGCATATTCAATGCCCATAATAAAATCATTTATAACTTTTTCATAAAACCATGCCATGTCGAGCTCTATATCTCAATTCATAAGTCATTCACCATTTCATTCGAGCAACCAAATTGAGGATACAACTTAGTGGGTCTCTAACCAACATAACCATTATATAAATACTTCCATTTTGCCATTTTACGGATATTTTGACCGCGGGAATCGGCACCCATGTTCCCAAACATGGAGTACATCTCATTTCTTCTTCCAACATCATACATTTACAATGTACCAATGAAATAGTCATATTCAATGACAACCGATAAGAGATTAGTTTCAATTCACCTAATTCTCATGTAATTTCTACAACAATCATAGCTATCCTCCACCGATAGCCCAAAACAGCTAGAAGTTGTGTTCTTATTCATTTGACCAATGCTTGTCCAATTATACATGCTAGGTTTACCTTTACACAATGTCTGAGCACATTCTGTTCATGATTGATAAATTGCACATTATCTTCAAGTAAACTATTTTAAGTATCTTTAATTTCTTGGCATTCTTGTATTCTTTCTTTACAATAGAACATATGTTCAGTAATCTAAGAATTCACAAAAATTATAAAAAAATAAAAATGTTTTAAAAATAATATATAAAATCAATGGCGAGATAATGTCTTCAAACAAATATCTAAACGTTTCTTACCTGTCATTGATATTACTTTTTCAATTTAAAATAATGCTACTCAAATACCAAATGAAACATGCTCCAGTAAAGTTTAGTTGAAGGCATTATCTTAAAGATTAATTTGGCATCTAGTGCAATTACATCAGCAGTTATATGTGTCACTGCTGTTATTTTATTTTATTTTTTATTGTTAGTTGAGGGAAAAAGAGCAGAAAGCACTAAGGAAAAAGTGAATGTATAGGCCTGTTTGTTGTAGCTTAAATATGCTGCATATGGATTTTTTTGGGATTTTGTGCCAGACTGTTTGTTGTAGCTTTCGTTTACAGCATGTGTTAAAATAACTTAAATAAGCGGGAAAATCTAATTATCCTGAAGCTAGGAGGGGGCTACTGTTGGATTCTGCTTATAGATTTTCAGCTTCCAGCTTAGAATAGAAGATTTGTGTAATTGGCTTAACTTTCAATGAGGTGAGGCCATGCATTTATATTGAATCAGATTTACAACTTAGGAAATAAGAATAAAACAAATTATCCTAAATAAGCCAAGGATCCCATAATTCATCAATCACAGGATATTATTCTAAATGTTTCTATTCTAACTGTTCTAACAAGAATAAGCTACTACAAACATGCCCTTAATTTGACAATTTAACATAGAATTGTTCTGTTTCAATTGGAGTTAATTTTCAATTCTATTGATTCAATCCTGATTTGTCTGGATTCTACTCTGTGGATATTTTATAATAAGTTGCATCAAGATCTGAGTATATCAATTAATGAGTCTTTGTCATTTAAAGGGTGGTGAACAAAATTTATCATAATGAACCTAGAATTGTTTTTATCCTGTGTTTAGATAATTAGTTAAATGTTTGTTTGTTAATGTTTTTTTTTTTCATGGTTGATATATATATGATAAATATATTATATAGTGTTGTTTTAGGTGAAATTGATTCATCTGGCTTTAATTCAACTGCACACTCTAATACTCCATCATCAATAAGAGGTAAATCTGATCCAACATGGGACCATGTCACTGAGAGGCGAGCTCCCGATGGGAAGAGAACTTTAACATGTTTGTATTGTGGGAAAACTATCAAAGGATGAGGGATTAATAGAATGAAGCAACATCTTGCAGGAAAGTCTGGTGAGCTTGGGCCGTGTAAAAAAGTTCCAGGTGATGTTAGGTATCGAATGGAAGAGGCTTTGAAAGCAATTACTGAGAAAAAAAAGCAAAGTGAGGAATCTAATTCCTTTGGTCGGGCTATTTTCGAATTTGAGTATAATGTTGAAATTGAAGAAATAATTCCACAAAGTAATAAGGGCATCTTAATTAATGAGCGTGGTGGTAGGAGGAATAAGAGTAAAGCAACAACGACACAAAAAGGAAAAAGAAAGGAGCCTGCAAAAATTGATAATTTTTTTGCACCAAGGACGACTCCGAGCTCTCGACCAACTATCGAAAGTGCCCTTGCAACTAAAGAAACTATACATAGGGCACATATAATTTTGGAAAAATTTTTGTATGATACACGTGTTTCAATGAATGTTGTCAATTCCATATACTTTCAACCTATGTTTGATGCTACAATCACCATTGGTCCAGGATATAAAGTTCCTACTTACCATGAAGTTCGAGTTCCTTTATTGAATGACTCAAAGATAGAGCTTCAATTGTTTATTGACTCTATAAAAAGTACTTGGGTTGATACTGGATGTACAATTATAGGTGATGGTTGGACTGATGGTAGACATAGAACCCTCATTCATTTTCTTGTCTATTGCCCTAAAGGAATCACTTTTGTTAAATCTGTTGATGCCTCTGATGTTGTAAATGATGCTCCTCTTCTTTTTAAATTGTTTGAAGAAATTATTGAGTGGGTAGGAGTGGGCAATATTGTGCACATGGTGACAGATAATGGGGCCAATTATGTTGCTGCTGGAAGACTTGTTAGTCAAACTTATAAGAATATTAATTGGTCTCCTTGTGCAGCACATTGTTTAAACTCAGTGTTAAGTGATATTTCCAAGTTGCAACATGTGAAAGAGCTTGCTTGTAGAACATCAAGTGTAACAAGATTTATTTACAGTCGCCCATGGTTGATAGCTTGGTTGAGAAAAAAGAAGGGATGGATTGAAATTGTGCACCCAGGAGTAACTCGTTTTGCCAGTACTTTCATTGCATTGCATAGTATTCAAAAACATATGCATGATTTGAAAGCCTTAGTGACAAGTAAGGATTTTGTGGATTCAAGGCATGCAAAAGATAAAAAAAAAGTAAAAGAAGTTGTCGATATCATTTTAGACAATAAGTTTTCAAATGATTGCTTGATCATTGTTAAGATTGTTGAGCCACACATGCGATTGTTGCGTATTATTGATGGAGATAAAAAGCCTTCAATGGGATATGTATATGAGGGCATGTATAGGGCAAGAATAGTAATTAAGAATGTTTTCATGAAGAAGAAAAGATTGTACAAGCCTTATACAAGTATTGTCAAAGAGAGTTGAATCCGACTTTTCAATATGATCAAGCATCATTTTGCAAAAAACCATAGGTTATGGCAAGTGTGCTTGATGTGATTAAAACAAAAGCTACATGTAGCAAGACAAAACTCTTGGATGAAGCTAGATTGTTTCAAGATCAATTAAAAAGTTTTGAAAGAGAGCTTGCTACTATTATATCCAAGACAACACAACCAGGTAAAATTATTTATTACATTTGATTTTTTCATTGTGATTGCTTAATAATTTTTTAAGTGTAATATTAGATCTAATCTATTTATTTCTTCTTTTCTTTTAATAATAAGATGAATGGTGAAGGTTATTTGGCCATAATGCTCCGAATTTGCAAAAGTTGGTTATTTGAATTCTTAGCCAAACTAGTAGCTCTTCTGAATATGAAAGGAATTGGAGTGTTTTTGAACGTATACATACAAAGAAGAGGAATAGATTGGAACATCAAAGGCTTAATGATCTTGTATACATTCTTTATAATTTGCGGTTGAAGAATAGGTAAATAAATCATTTACCTTGTCATGCATTTACTAGTAGAATATTTATTCAAGTAGTCTTACTTTTAAGTGAAAATTATAGGCATTTCAACAAGCTACCTTAACCTATGGAGCTGCCATACAGATTTCAAGCCGAGAATACACCCCTGGATATTTAAACCAGACTTTAGTCTCGAAAATTCCAAACATTTGCGTTCTAGGCATCGCCATTCGAACTCTAGTTTCTACCGTCCCAGTTGGTCTCCTAGGAACTCACTACAAACACAGTCAGGTGGCTATACCAAACCACCTGAAGTCATTCGAGCATGACAAACACCAAAGGAATTGCACCTTTAAAGGATTTAAGGTCTCCTAGACCTAGTGTGTATACAAGACAGCGCAGGTGAGGTGTACAAAATAGTGCGGGGTGAATGAATGCACAAAACAGTGCGATGCAAGGTATGCAAAACAGTGCGATGCAAGGTGCACAAGACAGTGCGATATGGGGAATGCACAAAATAGTGCGATACAGGGTGAATGCACAAAACGGTGCGATGCAAGGTACACAAAATTGCGCTATAAAAGTGCACAAAACAGTGCGATACAAGGTGCACAAAATAGTGCGCACTCAAAGTGCACAAAACAGTACGATACAAGGTGAATGCACAAAACAGTGCGATACAAAGTGAATGCACAAAACAATGTGATGCAAGGTGCATAAAATAGTGTTGTGTGGGGTGTACAAAACAGTGCGAACTCAAGGTGCACAAAACATTGCGATACAAAATAAATGCACAAAACAGTGTAAACTCAGGGTGCAGAAAATAGTGCGATACAAGGTGAATCAAAAAAACAGTGCGCGGTAAGGTGCACAAAATAGTGCGATACAAGAAGAATGACGCATAGTATGTAGAGGGAAATGAGCAGTACTCAAAGTAATGCATCATGTACCTTATGAAATGAGTGTAGAGCAACTTGCCACAACTCATTGAAATGTAACACATAGGGAGGCAACCCGACAAAATTCTGTTAAGTGTAGAACAAAATCAAAAGTAAGAGCAACCAATCACACAGTTCAAATCAACCAGAGTGTATGAGCATGTATGCATAAAGCACATGTATTAATCAGAAGGAAGATGACAATCCTAAGAGAGTTTTGAAATGGTTAGAGACAACTTTCGAAAGCTGAATCATATGAGAATCATCATAGGGATGAACTACCCTAATCCAGGGAAAAGTGCCCAACAAATGGCTTTGAGCAGATGGAGAGAAAGGTTGGATCCATGCCTCTTGTTCAAATGATGACCCGATCAGATGTACTGAAAATTGCCCTTAGTGTCCGTCATTGACCACCGGCTGGGTTCATCCCCTTGTTCAATGGATGTCTCAATCAGATGTACTCAAAATTTCCCTTAGTGTCCAACCACTGGCCACCTTTTTTAACATTATGCAGACACATGTAATGGGGATCATCAGATCCTAAAACAGTTGCCAACCAATCAGACTCATGCTTCTTTTATTTTCTAACATGTTGAGAACTTACTTCAGTCCCCTCCAAAGCAATGATGGATTCCTCATATACACTTTGCAATGATCATGAATGCGATGCCCCTTATATGGACACTCTCAGTTTGTTTATGAATTCCACACATGGACTTATTTTCGAGTTTTGAGCGAACTTTTGTGTATGGAATTTTGATTATGCCACTTTGTTGAATTTTGAGCGAAAGAAACGCTATGGTGACTTAATGAAGAGCACAAACTGAGACAAATACTGGGCATGACACAACAGAACTCACAACTGAACCAAAAGCTGAAAAAGACTCAAGGTAACTGATCATTCATAGTGCCCTTAGTATTACTTATGTTCCCTTTAGAACTCAATTTCGATTCCTTTTTTTTTTTGCTTAAGTTAAAGATTTCACTAATAAGTTGAAGTATTGAAAATTGCTCTACTCGTTGATTCAAGCTAGTTCCTTCTTACCCAACGCAAGTATGATATGCGCAGCAGTCGGTGTAGCTCATGGAATGTGAATTGGGCAAGGCTATTGGTTTGAGATGAATAAGATGAATATGGTCGAGACCGAACTTCAGAATGAAGTTGCCTACGTATCCCAAGAATGGGAATTAGGTTAACGTAGTTATTGGCTGAGGTTCACTCGGGTATTAATACTCTCCTTTTGTGCTTTAACTTTTGCCAAAGTTGCCCCTTTGGGGTTTTCAACCTCGCGAGCTCTATTTATTTGATTTCTCATTTTTCATGCTTTAACTTTTGCCTAGGTTGCCCTTTCAGGTTTTCAGCCTAGCGAGCCTCTCAAGGATAGCGTTACAACACTTGTGGTGAATTTGATCAATAGTCACCCTTGCCCCAATACTGGAACTAGCTTCACCTTGATTTAAGCTTGGTTCTCCATTCTCTTATGCATGTCTTTGTCCTTTCTTTTGCTCCATTGTCAGAGTTGGTTCTTCTCGCAATGCGGTACTTCCTCACATTGGCTTCCTCGAATTCAAACAAAAAGTGACCTTCCTAATGGTTGATTAGATTTCATTCCAATGAATACTCTTGGCTTGATGGTTGACTCCTTTTCCCTTTTCTTTTTTTTTTGTTTTTTTTTTGTTTTTGTTTTTTGTGTGTGTTTCTTTTTTCTTTTTGTTTGTTTGTTTGTTTTTTGTTGTCTCTTTTTGCTTTTTCTTTTTTGATTTCTTTTATCCGTTTCTTTTTTTGAAAGCAATGAAAACACCAGGAGGAGAAATTCTATGATTGTGAGCTCTGAAAGTCGTCTTATACTTGCCAACATGATCGCCTAAATGTGAAGAGAATCCCTAGGACAGTGTTAAATACCGCGCACAATTGTGAACCTATCTTCGCAATTTTTGCAAAAGAAACAACTTAAAATTTTGAACTCATGAAGGACTTTGCGTCGATAATTCAGAAGCTACTCAAACCATTTGGGGGATCCTTTTCAACACTCGAGCTTATTAACGGAATCTCATTCAAAAAACAAATTCAAAGCTTTTCTATTTTTAAAAGGTCACACATGCATTACTATAAGCACAACAAAATGATCAAAAACTTGACTCCCGCTTTCTTATTTTAGAAAAACGAAGACCTGAGGGTACACGAGAGCGACTGAAAGGAAGAGATTCAATTGACGCAATAACACAGGAAAAGACAAAGAAAATAATACTAACAACTCAACTATTTACAAGACACAACTCAAAACAAAATCAGCACTCTTGAGACAAAGGGGGTTTTCACTCTCCAAGTCCATCTGCATAATTCATAAAAAGCTTCAAGTAGCCCATGTGAGTGTTCAAACCAGCCTCCAATGTAGTAATACTAATGTTCACACCCAATAGGATTGATTTTAGACTTTCAAACTGAGTCTCATAGATTGAGCCTCACAATTACCCCAATTGTCCCCACACATCTCTTTGACCAAAACAATTCCTTTTTTACACCATGCCCCTAGTTCAGAAGGTGCTTTCCAAGTGCTTTAGACAATTCCCCTAGTTGAGACTGAGGTTCATCATTCTAACCATTAGTGTTAGGATCTGTAGAGAGCCCATTGCTTCATCAAGCTTAAACTCACCCAGATTGAGTAAACTTTCCATCTCTTCAAAGATTTTGTTCTTTTTGCTCAAATCGGAACTAGAAGATTTAGGAATGAACACAATGGGTTCGAGCTCATTGGTGGGTATGTGTAGACACCCCATTTTTGACCATCCTCAAGACTTGGATGTCATCGTTTGAACACTCGATGATCATCCATGCTCATGTTCGTTTTAAGTTCCCGAAGGTCTCGACTGCGCGCCTTGCCTTAGGATCTCTCAACATGTCTGTTTTGTGCTTGGCTGTGGACCAAGGACTTGTGGTTTTACTTCTGAGGGAAGAGGGTGGCTTGTTTGCCATCTTCTCAACCCATCGGCCAAGGCTTGAAGCCATCGGCCTTGTTTTCTTTCCATCGGCCAAAAGTGTTGGCCGGTCAGCACTTTTGTTGGTCGGTCGGCACTTATTTTGGTCGATCGGCCATATTTTCTGGCCGAGGCCTTTTCTTTTCCTTTTTCAGGCATTGTGCATGCCAGCTGGTGAGCACAGACCCTCCTATGGAGCCTAAGGCCATGTGTCTGTCATCACCAAAGTTGCCTCGGCTCGGGAACTTGGGTACGAGAGGGGAAGGTCCTGAAATGAGCACCCCCACTCGCCCGATCAAAGGATCGACCTCTACTAAGTATGATATGTTGTTTTAAAAACACGTGTTCTTATTCCGATTATTAATCTAACTTACTATGTGATGCGCACAACATACAAGTATAGACTCAATCACGAGAATTGGAACAAAACAACTCATGTTTGTTTTTTAAAATGGTTTGAAAGTGCCACTCGTAAGTAGGCTAAAGCGCGGATTTGTCACCCTCAAGTGGGCTTGAAAACATGATTTTGCCACTTAGCAAAGTGGGCTTAAAACTCACAATCATCGAGTTGCTCCAATTCAGGCAATCAAGCCTTCACCCACA